CCAACACACCCAATTAGCTATTTACATAAAACACTAAAGTAACATTGTTTGATGCATTATTAATTATTAGTTATTATCAGACAAGGTCAATTTATCTCAGTGACAGCTCTCATCTACCTGCACTGCCAGTGGGACAGTGACATATGACTATGTGACTATGTGATCATGTGATCATTTGATCATGCGACAGGTTCACAAGTTATGACAACAGGAGCAGGCTGTGGAAAAAGTCGAGCTTCGTTAATAACCTTCACATTTGTGATAAGATAAACCCTCAAAAAGTTCAGTGCTAGATGTGCCAAAGGAAACTGGCAAATAACCAAACTACAGCTGAAGGTGCTGCATGTAGATGAGGTTGAAAACATGGACAATGGTGTGAAAGGATGAAAGGAGCCAGCAGTTAGTGTTATAATGACAGTGAGTGAGAGCAATGACAGCTCAGGGTGTTTGGGTCCCACAGTCAGGTTTAAGAAGTTGTTGTCTAGGTTTCATCACTCAGGAGCCTCTGTGTCTTATAACAAGAATGACTGACTTTGACAATTGATGACAGCATGAACAGAGTTTTGAATAAATGCAAATATCATGTGGAATTGGGTGGATGCAAGGAAAAGGAAAGCAAATATGTTGCATTTTTTATAAAAAAGTGTGAAAAGTGTGATGCTCGTGTCTGGATCATGACCAACATCAACTCAGAAAGAGTTCTAAGAAATCAGAAAATGCAGAGTAGGGTTTATGATCTTTATCTGGAAAAAGAAAAAATTGAAGTCTCCATATTTTGCTTGTTTTTAATTCATGTTTGTTCAAGAAATATGATTTTCCTTGATGGTTTTATATTGCTACCTAGATTCAAGAAAAAGCGGGTGAGGCTGAGGGTGGAGAAGTGTGCGATAGAGTGATCAAATAATGCCGACGCTCATTAATTACCGAGGGTAAAAAATAAATCTGAATTTCTAACAGTTGAAGCACATCAGAGAGAAGTTAAAGGCTTCTGAAAGAGGGAGCATGACAGAGAGGAAGGATCTCCTTTAGAGTCCTCAGAGGCTCAATTATTGTACCAGTGTTTTCGGCCTGAGTGCAGGAGAAAGTAGAGGAGGAGCAGGGAAGGAAAACTGCTCCCCAGGGGGCTGTAGAGAAGATGCCCACCTCAGAGAGGCCAGGTGAAGTAGTGAAAAGGCCCAGATTAAAGTGCTGACGCCAGGAAAAAGCTGCTTCAGTCCCACTCCTCTGTTTTTATACTGTTCGGATTAGTTTGTATAACAAAGCACAGGTTGCTGCTGGCCAGTGTCTGGTGACTGTGTGTCTGCTCACACACAAACACGCAAATGCCTTGCATTGGCCCAGACATCTTAAGTCATCATCAGCCTCTCTGTGCATCTCCATCAAGCTCCCCTGGCACATAAGTAAATAGAACAATAAACACAACAGTGCACAAAAGTGCAGGGCCAGTGGTTTCAGCAACTATTATTTGACACTCACACTTGACTTATTAGACATGACATTTTACAATGTTATCCACTGAGAGAGAGAGAGAGAGAGAGAGAGAGAGAGAGAGAGAGAGAGAGAGAGAGAGAATAATAGAGATGCTGTAGATGTTGGTGGTGGAGAAGCTGCAGTGCAAACAAGATGTGTTTGAGGTTTATGGGTGTCTGGTAGACATTTCCAAAATAAGAGCCATCCATCAAAACTTGATGTCCCATAACTACAAACACACACACATGCACGCGCACTCACACACAATTTAATGGATCATCTTTAAAGTGTAACTGAAGGGTGTTCGGAGTGTTTGTTTTTCACACACACTTACTCTGAAGGCGGTGCCCTCCTCGATGATGGTGGGCAGCTGAGAGAGGCAGATATCCACAGCCAGGTCCCACGCTTGCCTGCAGAGAGGTAACACACACATACACACACTGCATTAGATTTATGATATAGTGTACATTATCATTTTATTGTGGAGACCTGAGGCAAGATAAAAAAAAATGAATCTCAGCACTAAATCCTTGGTCAAGGCTTGTTCTTTTTACCCCCTCGTCTCATACTCATTTTCCACCGCTCACGTTTTCTCCCTCCCTCTGTTCCCCAGTGCACATACACCTCTTTAAATTCCCAGCCCGAGGTCCTGGAGAGGGCAGCAAGGAGCCTTTAATCCTGTTCTGAACACCAGCTCCTCTCATGGCCATCATATCTAATTCATGGGGTTACGTAACTCGCATTAAACCTTATCACAGGTTCTCTATTCTGTCTTTCTGCCTGTCTCGCTTTCCTCCCATTTCTGTTTTTTTTTTTCTCGCAGCACATCAAGCTCAGAGCCACGATGGGGCTTTTCCCCCTCTATGCTAGCACGATCCAAGGGTTGAATCATGTTCCCAATCGATGCACTGTGATTGTTATGTGATGCTGAATAAGTGACAGCGAGTTCACTCTGTCTGAGACTCTCTCGCCTGCTTTAATAGCTAAGCCCATTAGCTATAATAGAGTGCAACTCTAATACAGTGGATACAATGGCTCTACTGCTGTCATCTGCATGTGCAACATGCAAAACAGTATGTGTCTACAAAGTATTACTGTGTAATCAGGAAACGTGAGGGTAAATTACAGCAGGTGGTACAGTACGTCTGCTCCATCAAACACTTTTAAATTGTTTTTAAATGTAACAAAAAGCCAAAGTCAGCATGTCAGCAGTTCAGGCTAAATGGGAGAATTTATAAATTCAGCTGCCTACGTGACAGAAAAAACATTTTGCCTTCCAGCAGCTGCAAAGCAGACATTACTGCATCTTAAGGAACAGGTGTTCTCCACTTTGCAAAGATATAACTCATACAGGAGGTGGTTTACTACTTATAGATGCACCGCTACAGCAGTGTGCATATTCCAGTTTAATAATGTGGAGAGTATGTGCTGAATGCTTTTTTTCTCAGCACTACTTTGATAGGTGTACTGTGTAGGGATGCATCACATATAGGCAGGGGTATGGTGGTTAAACATGACGCTTACTCTAGGGAGGTTTGACTCAGGATAGAACTTGGAGGTGAGATAGTGAGGGTAGATCAAAGAATAAGTGTCTGACTTATCCATTTCAACATCATGTATCTGTAGTGTGTTTAGTCAAACCTAGTTATGTCATTTTGTTTGGGGCTGCATCTGTGGCTCCCACTGCAAAAATGGTTCTACTTAATAAAAACATCCTAGGGTCTTTACTGTTTCAGATTTAGATGGACATTATGAACATAATATAAATATAAAAAGTTTTTTAGGAACAAGTATGTACTGGATGACACTGAAACTTTTGAGAGAAGAAACTACACTCTGCGAGAAGTCCGACGGATTATACATTGAAACGATCAGCAATAAAACAGATTTGCAAACGTGAGGTCACTGACTCGAGGACTCTTCCAGTTCATGCTACTGTTACACTTTGCATATACCATTGTTTTCAGCAAATTTTAGGTAGTCTCCATTTAAAATGGTGTGGCTGTTGTCTGTGACAGTGCAGTCTGTGACTTATCACATATATATAGTGTAAAACAGTATTAACTAGATTTACTGCTGCTGAGAAAATGATTTCCACTGAGTGGAAACCTCCTCGCTGTCTCTCCATTACACTATCTTCTCTGAATGTCATATGGTAGGAGCTTTCAACATGATGAAGTGATGGTGCCTCTAAATGTTCTACGATCTCTTGGTATGTGGCTGCTGGTGAGTACTTTTGAAATGTCTCTGTGAAGTCAGCATTATGTTGACTGGTCCAACTCATAACCTTGACCTTAGAGGACGTATTTGTCTCTGACCATCTCTGTGTTAAGTATGACTCCCTCTTCCATGTTGCCCAAAAACCAATCAAATCCACTAAAAGCTCACACATTTTAAATGAACATAGGGCCTCAAAATTCTCATCTAACTTTTCCACTGGTCTTCTTGACTATAATTCTTACTAGTCATCAGATCCCAATATTCTACTGAAGGGCTTCAATAATACCTGTCAAATCACACTGGATACTATAGCCCCCATTAAAACAAGAATGAAGTGGAAAAAGACAAAACTCCATGTCCACTACTTAGATATGAAAGACCTCTTCTTATAATAACAAAAGTAAAACTGCAAGCTAACTATTTCTCCAAACTAATCATTAGTAATCACCATAATCCCAGATTCCTTTTTAAAACCATCAATACACTTATAAACTATGCTCCTTCTGCCCATCTGGCCACTTCACATACTGACTGTGAAAAGTTTTTATCTTTCTTTAAGCAAAAAATCCAAGTCTCAGACTACTTCAAGAAAGCTGCTATTCAGCCTTTGTTGAAAAACCCAAATCTTGACCATGAACTCCCACAAAACAGGGAGTGCAGGCTCATTTCAAAACCTCCTTTCATATCAAAAATCTTTGAAAAGGTGGTTCTGACCCAACCTAGATGCGTGTGAGAATAATAACATTTTCGACTAATTCCAGTCAGGATTTCGCCAACTATATAGTACAGAAACTGTTCTTGTCAAAATCACCAACGACTTACTAATATCTGCTGATGCTGGTGGATGCAGCGTATAACTGCTCCTCGACCTCAGTGCCGCATTTGACACCATTGAACATAACATCCCGATCAATCGTCAAACGCAATACGTCAGCATATCTGGAACTGCCATTAGTTGGTTCAATTCCTGTCTGACAAATCTCTGTTTCCATCAGAAATAACACCTCATCCATGGCTCCACTGATGTGCGGAATGCCACACGGTTCTATTCTTGGTCCCACCTTATTCTCGCTGTACATGCTCCCATTAGGAAACATCATCAGCCACTTTAATTAGAAAAGGTAACACATGCCTTTGTTTTCTCCCGCTTGGATTTTTGCAACACCCTGTATACATGCATCAGCCGAACCCTGGTAACTTGTTTGCAGCTTGTTCAGAACACTGCTGCTCGTATTTTTACAAATACAAACTGTAGGGCTCATATCACGCCAATTCTTGCATCCCTTCATTGGTTACCAGTTAAATTCAGGATTGATTTTAAAATTATTTTAATAACTTTAAAAGCCCAACATGGGTTGGCCCCAAACGACATTTTGCAGCTCTTGACTCCTTATAATCCCAATCATAACCTGAGATCGGCCAGTCTGTCCCTGTTGGCTGTCCCTAAGTCAAGGCTGGCCACTCAAGGTGACAGGGCTTTTTCTGTCAGGGCCCCGAGGCTCTGGAACTCCCTGCCGGATGAGATTAGGCTTGCAAGCTCAATACCAATCTTTAAATCACTGCTCAAAACTTATTTTTACAGGAAAACATTTCTAACATGAGACCTGTAATTACTTTCACTACAATAATGACACCTATAGAGTTCACGTATGATGTTCTTGAGGTCCCCTTTAAATTTGCCAAACTATTTAATTTAAAAAGATTAAGCATTTGAGTGTAGAGTAAAGTTGATTAGATCATTATCTTACACACTGTGTGTCATTTATCATTTTTAAGTCATTAAAAAGTTTTACATTTACAAGAAACACAATAAAATAATGAAATTATTATAACAATTACTGTAAGGCATTGCATTTTCCTGTAGTATATTAAAGCATTTTTTAGGTTTCATAACTAGAAGTGCTGAGATTAGAATCTGTACAGAAATGTTGCTCACAAATTCCATCTCCGTTTCTTCATTTATGTAATTCAATAGAGAAGAAACAAGCAGATAGAGCAGTGAACACACCCTCACAAGGACGAGGCTGCTGCACCATGTGAGATGACAGCATTAAATCGGACGGTGTCTGCCAATGAGTAACTCATTACCAAACCTGTTTGCGCGTGTGTGTTTGTGTGTGTGTGTGGAGGGGACGGTCGTCGACAGAGAAGCGTGGGGAACCAGTTGGCGCCTGACTAAGCTCTTTTTCCTGTTGCCTGCAGAGAATGGTGCAGCGACGCACACTCACACAAACATATAAAGCAGACACACACCCACACACACTCCCACACTGTCCACGAGGGAGTAATCAGCCATGAGTTTATCTGCTCTTGCTAATTCTGCGCCATTTGACTAACAATTGCTGTTTGTGTTGGGACACCAACATCAATCGACGAGCCCCAAAATTGCTTAATTACTCCTTTTCTTCACCCTCTCCCACAATCTATGCAGAGCCAAACTTTTATACTTCTACTGCTCTTTTATCTCTGGCACCTCCATTTTTTTTTTATCCTCCTCTCAGTCTTCTTCCCTGTGCTCTTAAAGTACCTCCCTGCCATTATTCTGTCCTGCTTAATACTGGGTGTGAAATAAAGTGCACCTCCCAATTTCTTTAGTGGTAAACAGAGCAATGTAGCCACAATCTAAAATAAAAGGCCGTACAGACGAGAAAGAAAGATGACTGCTCACACAGGGAGGGAAGGAGCAGTATTCTTTACAATAAGCGATGCCAGGGTGTTACACAACAAGTCGTTCCTTGAGGAAAACAGAGTGAGAGAGCGTTTTTTTTTCCTCGACACGATTCAGATAATGAGTGGGAGAGGTGGAGGGAGGCTTTTATAGAAGACCAAGAAGAGAAACAATAGAAAGTGGGAGAAGTGTTGGTGTCAGGGAGATAGATATGATCTTACACAGTGTGGAGATGAAGGTAAATGGACAACAGAGCACCTCTTTCGGTGTCTGGCTATAGTAATGAGAATTTGTGGGGGACAAATGCAGTGGAAACACTGCAACAACATCTGGCTCAAGTGTCAAGCTGTGTGAGTAAAAGGGAAGACATTCTTAAACTTTAATAATTCCCAAAAAATTATGTTTTTAACCTAAATCTGCCATGTCTCCCACAGCCAGAGATGTCTGACATGTCCCACAAAATCTTTTCCTATCCCCCAGAGTTTTCTTGATGCTCTCAGTCAAAAGGTGGACATGTACAGCTGCAGGTTACATTTGTGTGTGGGTGGTGAAAGTGGAAGCAGTGCCCCAACTCTATATACAAGCTGTCTTCTACCAGTCTACTCTGTAGGCAGGTGGACTGAGGACTATGCTGGTGAACACACTGCTTACATCTGCTTATTTTTATGAGGCAGCGAGCAAGCGCATGCAGCAACGCTAGCAGTAATCGACATACAATAGAACCGAGAAACAAAATCATGGAAATTATACTCAGCGTGAGCGAGGTGTATGCATATGCTGGAGGCCTGAAGCATATACAAACACCTACGTGTTTTGGCTCACACTTCCTCAAAGAACATATATTTTGAGAAGTAGTGAAAATAATTGAACCACTTTATCTAATGTTCTAATACATGTGGGGGAAACTTTTACACAGTCGAGTGTTGCATGAATATGTGCAGTCCTGTCATGTCCTCTTTTGACTTACGGATCAGTGATAGCACATGACGGCATAGATCCTGCAAACATGAATGTATATCAGACTGCGTGAAGCCTTTTGAGAGTGTCTGCTCTTTTCCCACACTAGTTTCAACCTTGATCCTGTTCAGACCTGGTAATAACATCCCTTGTGAGTGATCCGATCACAAGTGGTCAGCTCAGAGTTCATGTCGAACGCACCCAAAGGCCTCCTGAATGTGTCCCGAGATCCAATCACATAAATCAAATTCAGAAGTGGTCTGGGACACATGATGGCACATTGTTTTTGCTGAATGAACGTAAATACATCCCAGGCCACATGAAGGTCTGCTTACTCAGCTGAAGTCCTCTGACCTTCTACAGTTTTACTATGAATTTAAGCTTCTCTGTGTCCACACGTTGATTTGTTTGCTGCCATCATCACAATATCAGCACTGCACAAAACATGACTGATACATTTCTGAAATCTGCAAAATCTTTCTTTATAGCTGTGCACATTCATTTATTCCATTCTGCCAGATTCTGAACGCACTCTTTCTCTCTTTCTTTCTCACTTGTGCCAACATAACTTTCGTGATTATTTGCATTTAGAGCGGGGGAATGAGCTCTGATCTCAAGTGGTCTCAGGAGACACATTCAGGAGACATTTTAATACCAGGTGTGAACACATATACTCATTTATTTAACGCTGTCCACTTGTGATCAGATTTCACTTTTGTTAACAAGATAAACTTCAACTTCATGTATTTGAGGGCATATTCAGCTTAGGATAACTTACTGAGCCTACTGAAAGCAGGGAACATTGAAAGAAAAAAGAGTTACACAAGTTGTTTTGTTACTTGTTCTCCAGCATGCGAGCTGCCAAAACAACTAAGGCTCACCTGGGTTTTGTTGTTTGTCAGAAAAGGTGTGTGTGTGAAGACAGCAACCAAACAGTGAGGACAAGACTGCTGATATGCTGTCACTAACCTCAGTGGTTGTTGGTCAGTAATCACCTCAGGTCTTCAGTGTTTTTTCTACCCATGTTAAAGGTACAGTGTGTACAATTTAGTGATATCTAGTGTTGAAGTTGCATGTTGCAGCTGATCTCACCTCACCCTCCACTTCCAAACATGAAAAAGAAGCAGCTTCAGTTTTCATAAAAAGTCAAAAGGTTTTTAGTTTGTCCAGTCTGAACTAATGTAAAAAAACATGGCCACCTCCGTAGAAAGGACCCCCCCAATGTAAATATAAAGTATTTAAATATAAAGGGGTAAATCTTTCTGGGGTAAAGAAAACTACAATTTATACAATTTAGATGAAACAAGTGAAGGATTATTCTACATTAAATTTCTGAAAATAGTTCCCTTTCACCTAAATCTTACACACTGGACCTTTAAGTCAATAGAATAAGTTTACAGTTCTTCTGCTGAGCTAGGTTAAACAGAAATCTATACTCAAAGCACAATTTCCATAAACAGTCTGCTTATGTACGAGAGGCATATTCCCATGAATGTGAGGACTATTCTTTAAAGCTTTGCAGACCCTCTAGCAGAGTAGTATATCTCTAGGTCTGCTTTTTCAATGACCCGCTGTAACAAGAAAAAGAACAAAACGAAAAGGAAATGGTCACAAAAAAGTGCATTTCTGCAAACTGTTTTTAAAATATATCTGGAAATATTTCCAGAAGAGATTTAATTTAATAAATGAACTCATAACTTTTGGGCATGTAGCCATTTGTGCATAAGATACCATGCTGATAGCATCTTTTAATCTCTCTGTGGCTTTTTAAAGGTAACCACTTGAGATCATTAAATAAACATGAAGTACAGAACACTGTGTGCCTCTTGTCTCATCAAAGAAGGTATCTCCTAGAAAGTCTGCTCATTCAAACAGAAAAGCTGTGTTGCTGCTCCTCTTGCCTTTTGCTTGACTAAGCCAAAAACCTCAGTGTGTGTAAGAAAGCCTTCTCTGTTCTGTTTGCGTGCATCTTACCACATGGCGTGCATGTATGTAGGGGGCAGGCGCGGACTGCTGACCGGCGTGCAGTTGTATGACCTCATTATCCTCTCTGCTAACAGGAAATTTCGGAACAAGCTGGCCACCAACAGGTCCTGACGAAATAACTTCTGGAACAAATCTGAGGGCAGAGAGAGGGAGAACAGAGATTATTCATCACGACAGAGAAAGAAGACGGGCAGCGAGTGAATAAAATTAACAAAGAGATGGGATCACATGTGAGGAAAACGGGGCACTGAATCAGTAAATGAAAATCTAACTGGGCAAAAGAAAGAAGTTTTAATTAGAGCAAAGTGGCTACTTTGGAAAAGTATGTGTGTGTAGGACCGGTGTGTATAGAGTCCAGCAATGTGTTGTGGTCACATTTTCATCAGCTCATTAATGTATTTACTAATTCACTTTAATGGGGCCAGTCCAATCCCATGGCAATGTCTCTGGCTTATGACTGTGAGTCCCCGTGCTTGTGTGAGGGAGCATACTCATGTGTGGAGAGACACAAATCCAATGCTCGCTGTTGGTGTAGAGCTGTTTGGATGTTGAAATATTTAAGTTAGTGTGTGTGCGTGCGTGTGCATAAGGTGACGTAGACTGTGAGTGGGTGTGTGTGTGTAATTGGTATGCAGTGCCTTCATTACAGGGATTCTCGCTGATGTGGGATGCTTCATTAACAGCAGAGCCCCGGGGTTTAAAAGGCTTTGGCAGCCATCAGCATTGTCACATTGCTGTTTTAGCTTGGATACAGTTTGTCTCAGGAGAGTCTGGGGGGGGGATGTGTGTGTCTGTGGGTGTGTATTGTATACGAGAGATAGGTGAGTAATGAGAGGAGTGTGTGCCCCGCAGGAAAAAAGAGAAACACATGCCCAAAAAGAAGTGAGCATGTGTATTTTCATCTGGGCAGGGTGTCTGTGGGTGGCTGTTAATGGTAGTATGTGTACCAGTGTATTTCTTTGTTGTCAACATACAGAGTTTTCTCTGTGTGTTCTTACTTTGATGGCCCCTAACTTACGGTTAAAATGATAAAACCCCACTTACAGTGCGACACACAATTCATCTCAATTTGAGGAGCCAGGCTGTGCCGACTGCACTCTCGTTATTTTATATGGACATCTTCACTATTTTCAGCCAATAGGGATGTTTTCAAACTTTTAGTTTTGCTGATGAGTCACTACTGTACTGTTTCATTAGGGTTTTTTATTAAGCTGTGCTTCCTGTGAGGGAGTTGTATCATTTTTCATCATTGTCTAAACATGTACACAACAGCTTCAGTGAGCCTCAGATCTCCCAGCAAGTTTGTCTTTATCTTTCAGCGCCATGTTGTTGTTTGCTTTCCTCCGCTAGGTTTGTATCTTCTTTCATTGTATTTGCCATCGTTTCTATTGGTCACTATACTGAGTTATCATGACGCTGTACACTACTTGAAATATGTGCACCTTTATAACTAATCTATTTTTTCGAAACAATACATTTGTCTTTTTAATGTGACTAAAGACTAAACAATGTGTTCAGTGAACAGCTGGATCTTGGACAACAGGTGTGTTCACACCAAACTCAAAGCACATTTCCCCATCACGTTCCTCGCTTTTAGGTTTACTCACATGAGCAGTATTATATTATTTGCCTTTTGTCCATCGGGAAAATAGGTTAGGAGGCTGAGGTAACTATAACTGCTGCCATGTACATGAGGTTGAAATGCCAGAGAAGCCAGTGCCGTTGTGTGTGGGTCCACAAGAACATCTGGAGTCACGTACAGCTTGGGGATCGTCCCTATCATCTGTGTTGTCTAACATTTTAAAGCAGATACACACACTGTGTGACTATAGGTAGGGTTGCTAAGCTTTGACTGGAAGATGGCAATGTGCCCAAGTTGTATCACATTTTAATTATTCTTTTCTTTTTGTTGGGGAAAATAATCTTGTCATGTGATTATACATAACGTATGCATCTGTGTGTATACAGTCTTACCTCTAGGCAGCACATTCCAGGCGATTGTGTCAGTGATGGCTGTGAAGATCCAGTTGAGCTCTCCGAGTGGAGTGCGTCTGTCATTGAGCCTGCCAGGGATCCTGCACGACACACACACACAAAACATAACACAGATGGCACTGTGTCAGCCACATAGTTGACTCAGAGCACAAAGTGGCAACTGCTCAGTAACATTATCACAATACGTGAAAAAAAAAAAGTACAGTCACTTACTCAGATAGATTAACAGCTATTGCAGTGAGTCTGTCTATTCATGAATATACTTGCATGCACAAAGATACTGGAGGCCAAGATGCATATCAGGCACCAGCAGAGCAGAGATAGGATTATGCTTGATTTTATGTCATATAGATTCATGGCTGTCTTAGAAGAAGACATATAGTACATTTGATTATTGAGAGAGTGGCCCAACTCTTCTCAACACCCAATATATAAACAGGTAGTAAAATTTTACAATAACACAAAAAATCTTGTGATTTTATGAGTTTATCATCCCTCGAATGTACGAACACCATGTTGTTGTGAAGATTAAATCCAAAACACCGGTCTTGTTAAATTGGTAGACCCACTGCACTGACTACAATGCAGTGTCCACACAGCTGTGTATCTACAGTGTGCACTGGAGGGATTTGAGATGTGTAAACCATATATCCGTTTTTCACAGAAGCTCCTCCGGCTTTTAAAAAACTGATTATTCTGTGCAGGGAGAGAAGGAGCACCATGGAAATGAGAGCAGGGAAATCTTTTTCAGACAAGAACCCAAGTCGATGTGACAGTAATCACTGTAGCAAAACGGAGAAAATCACCTTTACTACACTGAGCTGTCTGCCTTTTAATGAACACTATGTAAAGCAGTGAGTGAAGACGAGGAGGTTGAGGGCAAACACTCGCTGCCTCACAGATATTACAGTTAATGTGAGCGAGTCGTTTGTGTCCGAGAAAAGAAAGAGGAAGGAATATGTTTTAAATCTAAAAATGTAGGGAAGAGGGACAACAAAGGAATCAGATATTTTACAACCCTAACACTAACCCAAGCAAAAGACCAGAGAGGACAAGATGGCTTTGATCATCTACTCTTTTGTAAGGACTTGTTCATTACCAATGGAGTAGACTGGTTCAGTGAAGGCACCAATCCGATGACAACTGCCAGAAAAATATTATGAATTCTGCGTTCATCAACCAGACAAAAGAAGCACTGTGAAATACATCTTTAAAATGAAAGCGTCTGCTCTCCACAGCAGGACATGATGTTTCTGTCTGATCTGAGCCCAGCCCGACCCGAGCTCAACAGGTGTTTTGATCTTCCTGTCCAAACCGGCCCAGGACATAGGGTATTAGGTGTCTTTGTTAGTGAACTAGAACTAACTGTGTTGTTCATTGACTTTAAGTGAATGAGGACACCAAATTTTCAGTCCATCTCTCCAAGTGACACTTAGGCCAAACACCACAATTTTGTGAGGACACAGTGATCTTGAACTTTGGCTTTGACCACACAATTTGAATCAGTTCCTCTTTGAGTCCAAATGAATGCTTGTGCCACATCCTTAGAAGTTGTACAAATGTATGCAGGCAACTGGACTTGCGTGTGTTTCTTGAAGACGTTTCACCTCCCATCGAAGAGGCTTCTTCAGTTCTGAAGCAGTTGCCTACGTACACTTGTACAACTTCTGAGGATACCATGACCTGGATGACTGAGAACCTTCACAGATATGTGCCACATGTATTTAAGTGTTTTTAATGACCAAACCCTGAGCTCAGTGATCTTTTTTGTTCAATGTGAAGTAACTCCTTCACAGCATTCATGAGATATTGCATAACAAATGATTGCATTGCACAAAACTGACATCTTAAAATGTTAACTTCCAGATTCATCAGAAATGTACCATTTACGACCAAACATTTAGTTTCCACTGCGGTTTTATTATCATCTGTTGTGTGCCAAAAACATGTCTTCGGACAGAAGTATAAATCAAATTTAACACACATAATTAAAACAACGACTTTATAATAACACTAACTAAATAATAATATATAACTCTTTCCATGCTAAATCACTTCTTGCAAATCTTTTCACTTAAAATAAAACCTGGCGGCAATAACATATTACTTATAGCTATCATAAATGTGTGAACTCCTCCTGACCTAAGCCTCCCATCTCCTCCTTTAAGTGACCAATAACAGCAGCTGTGGAGCTCCTGGCAGGCTCCAGCTTACTGAGTGACCACAAGAGCCAGCCAACTCCTGAGCACTTTGAGTGTTTGCCAAAGGTGTTTGGCAAGTCAGCAGTAAGGATGATCACTCAGCAGTTGATATCCTTTCTCAGGGTCCAGTGTAATATGGTTACAAAAAGACAGTGGGACAGTGGGTGGGACAGACGGATGGATGGATGGATGGATTCCTCTATGACTTTGTGTTTGAGCATCTGTCACTGCAGACTCTCACTCCTGCTCCTTTGAGGGAGGTGTCAATGAGTAAGGCCTGAAACGATTTTACTTATCATATTAAATAGTTTGACACAATTTGTGACGTTACAGTATTGTTTCTGTATCTATCTTGACAAAAGCTGATCCATAAAAAACTTCACTAACCACACAGCGAACCCTTAAGTCCTCAGCAACTAACAAAACACACAAGTCAATCTGATGATCACTTCTTGATAAAATCAAAATTCAGTAAGAATGACATATATTTGCTCCATTTAAATGTGAACAGTAGTACCGTATTGTTTTGCCTATGTAGTTTGTGCTGATAAATCCATCATTATAATATTTACAGTGATAATCTTTTGAATGATAAGATTGTAGGTTTGGAATTCCTTTGAAAAGCGTCCTGATCACTTTTCAGGCTGTGTTTTGACTGACGTTGGCCCTTCGTAAAATTTGCTTTTCAGACACATGCAGGTGCATGTTTCAGAGAGATTGTCTTGTTAAATTCATGGTCATTTGGACTAGCCAATCACAAGAGGAGAAGTCTAACTCAAAGTGCATATATTATGGATTCATAATGCAGTATGTTGTTAAAAATAATTCCAGTGATAATGTTGAAGGGTGTACTGCAACAAAACTGTAACTGCCCTGTATCTTTTAGTTGTCTGATGTCTGCTTCTATTCAAATTAAGTTTTAAATAGAAATGTCCCTGTCCAGTTTTTGGGTCTTGTTGAGTCCCTGCTGCTTAGCACACACCTAAAGTTACAACCTTGCAGACAAATGATAGAACTTAATTTAATACTGAATAACATTTTGTGCCAAAGAAGCTCGTAATACATGAAAAAATACATTGTAAAAAAAATAATGAAATGCATGGCAACAGCAGATCTGGCACTAAACAGGTGTAGCTTGTTTTTTGCCAGCTGCTTTTCTCAAATACTGAAGGTTCATAGCTGTTAAGTTGATCACATTAATAATTAGGATAATGATATGATAAGATGTGTAACTTGGAGAATGTTGATTAATATCTGTCTGCTTTTAATCTATTTATACTAACAAACCTTAATGAATGGTGTCAACACTTTACACTGTGAAAAAAACAAACAATAAAACTGCCACAGAAACTGTTAGAAAACTATGTGAGCTCGGCCTGGTGTTTCTCTGCATTACATGTAACAAGTAACAACTTTGACTAGAATGAACAGCCAGCACTTGTATGACTTTGCAGACTGACATGGGGTCATTGTGACCTTTGACCACAGGAATCAAATCCATAAGATCAAGTGACAAATGGTTGAAAACTGAAGACATAATCTAAAGGTGGAATTGAAATATTATGGTAAGAGGGTTGAAAACATTTGCTGCGAGGCCACTGTGACCTTGAGCTTTGACCAACCTTCTGTTAATGTGTGAGTCTAAGTGAACGCATGTACCAAATTTGAGGAAATTCCCTCAAGGTGTTGCTGACAAGTTCACAATATCAAGATTTGCAAGGTCACCGCAACCTTGATGTTTGACAACCAAAAAAAAGTCCACCTTATTCAAAGAAATTCCCTCAAGGTGTTCTTGAGATATTGTGTTCACAAGAATGAGATGGACGGAAGGAGAACTGGAAAACATAAAGCCTCCAGCCACTTGCTGTCGAGGCATAAAAAGCTACAGTGCAGCGCTGGATGTGAGCTGTGTGTTACTGTGTGTGAGAGACACTAAACAGACATGTGCATATGTCAGTAAATGAAACCACATCCACTGTTAACAGATTGGGCTCCAGTTTTGATGAATTCTGTCATGTTTGATGCCATGAATACTGATGGAGTAGAAATACTGCTCTGATGATGCCAGGCTCGTATATCAAACCCTATCCTCAGCTGGATCAAGAACCAATCTGAGTATGTGTACATATAAGATATTCGACGTGAGCAATGTTATGAGGTCCTGTGTAAAAGTTGGAGCAATGCAATAAATCTTTAACGTTTTGGTGGTTGATGCTGTGCAGCTGACTCTTCTCTCTGATGTCTATGTGGGGGGCATACAGCATTTACATACAAGATGTATGTATAGTAATATAACTTATGTCTTCTGTAGTAAAATGCTAATGAGCCCTCACAGTGATGGGATTCCTTCAGTGAGAATATAGTCTTACTCCAAAGACCCCCGGATGAGTGGAGCACAGTTTCGGACTGCATCAGACACCGGGGAGCCGGGTCGGCCTTAAGAGGGGCAGAGACTCGCTGTGAAAGACGCAGTAGGGGGCTGTGAATGGGGATCAACCCGTGACACGTCAGCTCCATGTGAGATGAAAGAGAAGAGACAGTATGGGTTAACAGACTGTGAGGGTTAATGGCCAGAGATCATTGAGCTTGTAAGCAGGTAAGATCCACATGCAGTCAGTGTCGTGACTCTCTTATGTGAAAGGCTTTTGTGATTGATGCAGGCAGAAAGCGTGTTGGATGTATGTGGGAAGCAGAGACAGAAGGGTGCACAGATGGAGCGGAGAAAGAGGAATGATTAAATTAATCAACAAATCAACAGCACACAACTACTCAAGGCTGACATTATGTTCAATCCGTCTTACAACAAGTGCATGCGATCTTTCAAGGGTGATGAGCGTTCCACACATGGCTTCCAAACGTGTGCAACCTTTTGAGGGATGAATATGAGCCCCATGATTGGTCAGTGAGCGTAAGGCTCGTGTTCATGCCCACGAGTTTGATCAGGACACAGCAAAGTGATGACAAAGGCAAAAAGCTGCTTTGAGTGTGTGTGAAACTGTTTGCTCATTATTGAGCTACATTGAATCTCTCTCTGCTAAAGAGCAACCCGGTGTGATTTTGGTGTTGCTAGGATACCACAAAGTCAGCTGATGATTTACTGTGCTAGTTGTGCTACAGTAGCAACAGTTTGCGTTTCACTGAAATGGGCCTAGATTACTTTGATTAGCATTTATACATCTTGTGTCACTCGGACATTAGCACATGCACCACCTCCGGAGCTAATACAGAGGAACTGCAAGGTTCGGGCATGTCTGAAAGCAGCTTAATAAACACGACTAACCGAACTGCCTGCATGCCCACACCGTGCCAGTGCTCTCACTGCAAATGACCGGAGATCTAAGCAGAAGCAGACAACAGTCAAAAGTTAGCGCCGATCCACGGAGAAGTTGGCTTCTAGCAGTTGTCAGTCAGTGCATGTTCATGCTTTGATGAGAGGGCTGATGGGAGGAGGTGGGATGTAGCAGTTGCATCAGTGTTGCCTGCTCTCGCGAGCTTTTCCAGGATTACCAACCCTAGATTGAAATGTTCTGAACTCCTGTAGCACTTTGAAAAGTTCTGTTTTTCAATGAGCCGGTCACAGTTTTGGTTATCTTCCCTGGCAGTGTGCCGAGGTTTTCACATTTGTCAGAACTCATGGTTACACTCTGCCTATTTTGGTGATTGAATGCAAACACAAGCTGGTTTCTTTGTGGCACACAGAACTAAAAAAGGCTTAAAGGCAACATGGTACTGAGGGGAGCTGCAGTGTTTTGTGATAATTCTAGGGCTGCAACAATGTATAGATTATAATTGATTATAAATCGATTAACAATAGTTGGCAGCTAATATAGTTATTGATTAGTCAGGTCTGTTGTAAAGCACGGCACACACTGTGGCAGCATCAGAGTCGTCACAAGTGTGGGAACATTGACTTTTACTGTGACTAATAATAATGCTTGTATAAGATATATATAACATCATTTTAACTTGTGAAATTAATTCTGTTTTAGTTACTCAAAATATTTTTCAACACCTGTAATTAAGTAAGATTCAAAATACACTTTTTTATTCATGTGTATGGTTACTCATTATAGATATCTACAATTCAGTTGAATTAAATCGTAATATCTTTAACTCCAGTCTTTAATTGACCTCAATTTAACCTTAATTCAAGTTTAAACTCGATGGTGTTGTAGAGATCATTAACTTCAATTATAAACAGTTAGAATTACATTGTAGTCTGAATTTGGAATTATCATCATAATTCAGTTGTAGATGTCTACAGTACATGTAAAACAGCACTGCATAACAAGATGAAGCTTTTCAGATAAACTGCTGGAAAGGTTGAAATGTAGTTTTTTTCTTTTTATCTAAGTAAGAATGGATCAAATAATCAAAATAATAATCAACAGATTAATCGATTCTTAAAATAATCTTCAGCTGCAGCCTCAGATAATTCCTCACTATGAGCAACATTTCTTACATTACACAGTCATCAGACTGTTATATATATTGATTAGTGTTGCTTTAATCAATATAATAATTACTGTACACTTTTACAAAGTGCAGCTAGTGTGATAATTCATGTTCTGGCAGAGAAACATCCCATGAATAATGTTTAACTCTGGCATTTGACTTTAATCAAGAGTGCTGGCCCAAAATCATAGAGCAAAGAGGTGAGATGGCAAATGAGTGCAGTGCCATTTTTCTTTTATGAGCTCTGAGACTATCCATTATTTAACTGTGGGACATCAGCTGAGTCAACATTTAGCCGTCTGTACAACAAGCTGGACATGCAATGAACAGAAATAGCAACTTGAGCATCAGGGACGCCACCGACCGCCCCACTGTGTAAAAGCTGAAACATCAAGACTGAGAGGAAACGCTTTTCTGTGCCAGTAATATGACTTTTCTTTAACAACAAATTGTTTAAGTAAAGTAGAATCTTTATTCTAACCATTTTTTGGAAATTTTTTAAGTATTGAGATATAAGGACATTTCTAATCTTATAATAATACATTTAATTTTCATCCAGCATGGAGCCTTACCCTTAATATCCCCATGCTCAGCAATTCAAGGTCATCCATCTCATGAATTTCATATTTACTACTGTTTTTCAATTTGGTTTCGAACTGACAACATCTCAAATTCAATTTCAGCAGAGCATCTGAACCAAAATAGAAAAGGTCAGCAATTTTTGCTGCTGTGAGAACTCTTTCTTTTATCCTTATTGACTTTTTCTATAAAATCAAGGTGAGAGTAGAAGACGGCTAAAACAAAGAGCAGAACACAGGCTCTTCCAAAACATAACTGAACTGCATTTTTTAAATGGAAAGTGCATCTGTTTTTCTTTGATTGTCATGGCTGTACATAATGAAAGGCCAATATCAAACCCACAATAAAGTGGAATCTTACTGAGTGATTCTATAGCATGTGCTGCTTTTTAGCTGACATGATTCAAGCCCTTTAAATAGTGACTGTATGTATATAGGTCAGACTGACTGTAATGAGTTTCATTTTGAGGTAGCGGACTGACTCTGTACAGTGTTTTACACACGTCTTACAGAAGAATGAGAGGACACATTTCCTCTGATGTAATTATTGTGCCATTTGTGGGTTCTCAAACTCTCCTTACTGGGATGTGAGTCATAACTAACCTTCCTCTTTACAGAAGCTCTTTGTTTCTTTTTCTGGTGAGAAAGATAATAAGAGATGAAAAGGGAGAGAGAGCCTGAGCATGAATGAAGAGCTCCGGTGATGTTGGACATTGTGTAATTGAGAAGGCAGGATGTAGGGAATGTGAAAGATAAAATGGACAAAGAGGCTTATTTCTTCAAAGGTGTTCGCCATCACTCTGGTGGTTTCCCATCCTGCCTTGGGAGTCACTCAGCAGAAGCTTTGTACAGTACAAGGGCATTTCCTGTGTCAAAAGCATCCACGGGAGAGAACGGGGAAAGGATAAGGGGAAATTGTGTAAAATTTAAAAAATGAAAGACAAATTGCAAGCAAGTTAATCAAGTGGTAAAATTAGGAAGAGCAGTGACATGTTATATTTATGGCTAATCTCTGTTCTCTGTAAGAATGGGAAACACGTTGACAGTGAACCTATAAATTACCCTCAAATTATCTGGTAACACTTCTTTTCCCATGGGTCAATTACGTAGCTATGTGTGGATGCATCACATCTTCTAGAAGTAGTTTCACTCATATTACATATGGGATCCTGAAATAAAAAACTGTGTTGTGATATGTCAAACTATCGATTGACGGTTAACCAGAGTCTGACTATTATAAAAGATAGTGTATAAATACTGGAATGAGTTTGAAAATATAAGAAAAGCAGAAACAACTGTATAATTTTTTAAAGAAAGTTGATCTTTAAAAAAGAAAAGAATCAAACAACTGATGTGTCCAGTATGACCAAATCAATGCTGGTTCATGCTAAAGGCCAGGGAACACAAAAAGAGAAGGGTTATTATCTGTGCTATGATGACTCATTTTGAGTTTATTTTCCCAACACTATAATTCAAACAAAATACAGAAACAGAGTTTCAAAAATTTTCAAGTTTTTCCCTTCTAGTTGGTCGACCAGGAAAACGTTATCATGTCCTTTCAGCTTGCAGAAGATGTTTTGAACGAAACAACTATGCAGGATGATGTAGACGTTCTTCAAAAGCAGCTTCAAGCAAATAAAAAGGCAGCAAAGTAGAAGTGACTGGGACTAATGGTTAAATAAGAACACTGTATATGTGTTATGTAGAGAAACCCAGAAGAACAGAGAGTGTGATATAATAACTCAGCTGCTGCACCGATGGACCTTTTAACAAAAGTAAGATTGTTAAAATTGTGTGTTATATATATATACTGTACACTATGCATCTTTTATGGCTTTTTTTAATAAGCTATTTTCAAATAAAGCCCTACGAATAATTCACAGTTCTATCAAAACTTGATTGAGATGAGGATTAAAGGTGTTCTCTCCAAAGTAAAGCAAAAGAAATAGATACACAAATATAAAACTTGACAGCTCATGCTAGCTAGACTCTGAAGCACCACACACAGACATGTGGACACACACAACCTCTATATATTGCTGCAAAACCCTTAGCCCAAAACTAATTAAAGTCTAGCGAAAGATAAAGTTGTAGAGATACTGTGTCGCTCTGACTGTGTGTGTGTGTGTGTGTGTGTGTGTGTGTGTGTGCACTCAACCTGTCTGTGGCAGGTTCAAATCACTTTAGGCACGAGAAGAAAAGGATTTCTCACTTTTAGAAAACATTAAAATCCTGCAGAGACTCTCTTCGATGAGAAAACCTCAGGGTTATATAGCATAAATATAACAGTGCTTTTAAGTTACATACTTCCACAACCAAGACTTTTCAACCAACTCATTTAATGGGTGTTATTTTGCTCTCAGCTGCACATAAGCAGGGGCGTGGGTGGCGGTAGGGGAAGCCACCCGTGATTGTTCGGTGAAACTACTAAAACTTTGGATATGACATCCATATTGAGCGCCAATATCAGCGCGAGAGTGTGTGCCTAAGAGCAAGAGATGTTCTGCGCTCAGCCGCTTGGCACCCAGAGGTTTATTGAAGAAATGTGGGGCTTTAAATCTGCCAAACTACTGCCGCTTTCACTGTGAGGGGAAAACAAAGGCGGAGAATTATACCTGCAGGATGGAAAACAACACAGCGAGGGCTGACAGCGAGGAGAGAGCGACAGAGAAAGACAGGAAGACAGAGAGGCCGACACAGACTTGAGAAGGACAGGAAAATGACTTCTCTCAACTACACCCTCCAAATAGGGAGAGAGGGGGGGAAAAAAATTGAATTTTGGGGATGGTCGTGGAGTGCCACTTACTTCTCAATGAGGTCTAACGTCACCCCTGGCACCAGTTTGGCACTCTTCTGCATACAAAACCTGGAAAAAAAGCAGAAAGGGAAAAGGTTCAGATAAGGGAAGGAAAACAAGATGAGCTCATAGACAAGACAAAGCTTAAAAAAAAAAAAAAATGATTTGGGTCTCTATAGTACAAATTATATGACCTGTGAGAGAGACAATGGGCAAATAAAACACTCAAAGAAACAAAAGCTTCAAAGATTACAACCGCTTAGCCACTTGATGAGTGTATTTTGGCTGAGCTACAGTCAGGGGGGAGGGGGCAGACAGCAGGACACGCAGAGTCATATTTCTGAAATGTCTGGCATGGGGGTTATTGTTTACTGCGCGTGGTTAGCTCTGACAGGTCGGGCCAGCTGTAAGTCACAGCGGGTCGTCATTCAGAGCGTGACAGATGCACAGCACCGCGCCGAGCCCACTGCGAGTCATCACACACCTGGAGGAGAGTAGGAGTGTGTGTGTGTGTGTGTGCACGCATGTGTGCGTTTATTTATACGGTGTTTATTTATGTGTGTGTTTATTTATGCGTGTCAGTCACACATTACCTGCAGGGAGCATTAAATAAAGAAAGACTTAGGCAAACCTTTTTACGCATCCAGCAGACACGAAGCATTAATAGCATTCGTCTGAGTCATGTTCCTAGCCACATGATTAATAGAATTAATAGAAGTTCAAAAATGACCCTCCTTCTAGTTGTTGGCTGGTACTAACCATGTTATAAGAAACTACTGTATGAAAACAGTAGATCTGATTAATTTATTGAAGCTTCAGTTGGACATTTAGCTAAACTATCATAATAAGTTACAAGACTTTTAGTCATGACGGCTCCAGATGTCCAGACTTGAATATGACAAACATACAAATTGATTGATTCAAACTGATCTCTCCCAAAATGACAGTACAGGAATAAAAAAATCACACAGTCAAAACTTTTCTGTCTTTTCCACTTTTTTCTCAGCAGTCATATATGATTGGTTATCGAATATGAGTGATTCTGTTTTTTCCACTAGACCTTGAAGCCAGCATCACGCCCGGAGGTAGTTCCAAAATAATAGAAGTCATGCATTGGGAATTTGTCTCAAACAATTGATCCACCCTGACTGTGACGTAAACTGTGGCACTCACATTCAAAAGGTTCATCGTGCTGCTAGAGAATAATGAGATCCCACATGGCAGCAGTGCGTCTTAGGATGTCTTTTAAGAACAGCACGGGCACCGAGAGTGCCCGACACTCACGAAGCAAAGAGGAGGAAGGATGCCACCAGGGCAAGTTGTTGGGGTGATTGAAGATTTTGTGCCATTGAAGGCACAGAATCTGTTTTGGTACGTGCCAAAGGTTTGCCAAATGTCACGAAAAGCATCAGTTACATCATCATTTCCCCCAGTACAACACTACCTCTCTATTCACTTTTCCAATTGAACCAGAGATTAAATATCTTCTTTATATTTGTGTCTGTTGAAAAAGAAACAACATAAAAAATGATCAACTGAAAATGGAGTCTGACAGAAAGAGACAGATGGGCCGAGGTAAACACTGTGCAGACATATTTTAGTAAATACATGGACGATTCAAATTTCAGTTTGACTTTACAACTAGCAATGTGTTTTAATGCTAATATGACAGGGGAGAGTGTAAATACTCAAAGTAGGACATTGTCAAATAAACAATCATTCCTCTCAGTATTGACAAGCTTGGAAAAGAACTCTGAAAAGCATTCGTCAGCCAGAGGTGATGAGCACAGCTTGCTTTAGCTTTTAATCAGAAATAAATGTATTTCCTGACTCTCGAGAAACACAGAAACCACAGAGGCCCAGCTGCAGGGTTAGCATGTACTGAAGAGATGGAAGCACACGCTTGCTGAGGAGTTGATTCAGTCTGCTTTAGATTTCACAGAGATTCATCGCTGCTGCCTGCTTCTTCCCCATAAGGGCTGAATTGCAAAATTACACTCAGATCTGCCTGGTTTTAACGCTACGGTTTCCTCCTGAACAACTTTTCTGTTTTTCACAACCACGAGCCTGTGTCTGAAATCTCCCCCTTGATCAACTACACAGTACATCATCGACACTCAGTAGCTTCCTGCAGGTGCAGTAAATTGTAACTTCAGAAACATCTGAGGATGTTTTCTGGAGCATTGTCTGGACCAATATTCATGTCCTTGTTACACTGAATATATTTGCTTTCACACTGCATTTTAGGGAGCTCACTTTAGATTTACTAATGACCTACATATGTCCTTCACCATCACCATACACGGACTTCGTCGAAGGGTACTTGAAGTGAATAGGTTTGCTTGTCAATTCTGCAGATAGTAGTCTTTCTGTTTCAATGGAAGAAACAAATGAGCCCATTCATTTAGTTGCCACTGTTATATCAGAAATCACCAGCTTCAAGCACAGTACACAGCCATTTTCTTTTTCTACTGTTTAATGCTGTCAACCTCCTCAGATTGGTCTTATAGCCTGAACAATCCAAAAAAAGGGGTTTCACACTACAAACAAACCAAACCACGGCTCAGTTTGATCTGAACTGAGACCACATGTTTTGGTTTGGACTACATTAAAGACACAAGGTCCAAAACAAACAAGGTGGTTATGAAATCGCCCTCAGTCATCATCATTATGCAACATGTAAGGATTGCATGGATGTTCATTTTTGCATGGATAAAATGTGATACACTACTGTCTGAACATCCATCTACAAACAATTTACTCAAAACTAGACTTGTCAACATACTGGAGATAACAGTTGAATAGTGGATATGTAGGATATAGTTGATGTTTAGATAATTCACTGCAAACTTGACAACTTTGACATCCTGGAGGCCCACAAGTAAAGTTTTTATCAAATATGAATCCAAGTGGCAGCCTATGACCATTGGACTGATTTTACCATCACTGGAGTCATGTCTAGTATTTCAAGTTTTTTTATGGAAATGTAATCAGTTCAAGCCCAGTGAGGATTTAAAAGAAGAGTTTATATAATCAAGGCAGTGCTGCAGTGGTACATGGTGAGAAAAAGACAAGAAACTAAGGCAGACAGAGTTGGTTCATAAGAGGTTCATCCTAGAGTAAGTTCATGAGCCTTATCAGAAGATTGTTTTTTTTAACTCTTATGTTGTTTTACACTGAATGATGTAATGATGCTGGACAAATGGAGGTGTTCTAAAACGTTTAATCGGTCGAGTATGTGAAAACTTACCGGAAGAAAATAATCACTAAACTAAATTGTGTAGAGGATGTCTCGGGGTAAAACACAAGAAAAAAAACAATAAGTGGGACCAGAAACTAATATGAAGCTGATAAACTGTTCCCAGAAAAAGAACAGTAGCAGTGAGGTGAGGCTCATCGGTGCTCTAACTTATTATATGGCAAAACTCAGCACTAACTCTCGGAAGCTTTTTATCTTGTTCAAACTATTATGAGTGGTTGGCAAACTTAAGGCTGCGCCAACAGCTATGGCTGGTGAACTGAGTGTTCCTGTGATGAAGAGAGCACAGATGAGTTGACAGGAGTACCGAGGGGCTGAAGGCCAGAGATGAAGAGGAAATTGAGGGATTATTACCAACAGAGAGTGAGGTGGCCAAACTGTAATTGGATCGATGAATAAGAGTGAGTAAGTGTGTGGGTGCTGAGAGGAGAGGGTAGGAGTGGGCTTCTACATATTAAACACTGAGTTGGGAAATGAAGTAGATCTTGTTAGAGAAAACTACCATACTGCTGCCAGGGTGGGAGGTGGAGGAGGAACAGGAGGAGCAGAGCGGCCCCCTCAGGGCCGGATCTACAGCTCATTACTCCTTCAATCAGCCTTCCAGCCCCAAGTCATCGTCTCAATCAGTAATGTGCTAGAAGGCAATTGGGCGATCACAAATCCAATCTGCTCTGTCACTGACCTCTTCTATAGATGAGATATATCACACTTTTATGAAACTATTGTTCTGTCAAATATGAGAAATACTTTGTGTATTTTATGATAAATAAGAATTGGGTTCCTTTTATTCAATGATCTATTATAACAAACTAGTTAGCAGTATAATCATACATTGAATATTTAAGTTCTTGTTTCATAAATCTTTCAAGGGCACCATTTTAAAATACACAGAAACCCTCATGTGGAATAGTTTGAACATAGTATACATTTTTTGGGGAAATATACAAAATTGTCATTGTTTTCCTCTCCCTCTCCCAGTATCCTTTAGCCAGGACTTTGTGTCAGATGGCTCTTAAAACTTCATCCACGTCTCTAGACCTGCTTCTCATTTGTGTTTGTACTTGTCCTTGACTTTACATGAGCACTGGCCCCGTAGATTTTTTTAGAAGTGTGTTTAGTCTCTTTAATTAGCATAATGATGAATGCAGAAGAAGAAGTGGATTATCCTGCAGGAATGGTTTGGGATGTTTAAAAAAATATTTTTACCCTGCTTATGCTTTCAGCTGCTGAAATCCATTACAATTGCTGACAAAAAGTTATTAATCCTGCCGATAAAGCGCTGATTGGTTGAGTATCAAGTAGTCAGTGACCACAAAACAAAGAGGATTGGGTTCTTGGTCTCAGAATTCTGGAACAACAACAGTGGAAACATATTCAAAATGATCTGTAGTATAAAGTGTTCAAATGATTCTTTCCACATTTCTCATTGTTACATGAGCTCGTCATAAGCTGCTCATTAAGTGGCAGCTGCAGTACAAGGACTGATTTCAAAGCAACATTTCAAATGATGATACATTATGATGAATGTCAGTTTTTTGATCATTACAAAGACAAGTGTGAAGATGGAGAGGGGCCCAGAATCATGCTTCATTACTGCTTTCGTTTTAAATGAACATCAAATTGTAGTGCTTGTGTACTGTATGGCTACATTATGCTAATTAAAATACGTTTCCTGAACTCTACAGCGATGTTGACCTTGCCTATACAGCATAATTCAGTTCTAATGGAAATCCATCCTAAAGAACTCACAAGGTATTTCCAGTTCCACTGCACTGCTACATTTTCCATTTGTGAATAAAAACAAGTTTGA